GATTTAGTCAAAAAATCTGTCCATTTTACGAACCCGTGAGAGAGCATACCATAGTTCTATGTGGATAAATTAAGTTTTTTTCTTATAACTGGCGCTATTTTCTGTAGCTTACTTTGATTCATATAGAGTTTTCTGTTAAAAGTAACATTGTTCCAAATAGACAGTACATTTAAAATCAATTTTTAGATTAACGAATTATATATCAAAGTCTTAAAAATTATATAAACACAGGTTCAATGCAACTAATATCTATAATAATTATTTTTATAAAAGCTTTAGACGATCCTTTATCGCCTTTTAATAGTAAAAAAGTACTCAGAAGCTTTAGTACCAAATTAAAAATCATATTATAAACTAAAACCATGAAACATGTAACGTTAGAAATTAAAATTGACATTGTAGATGCGTTAAGGCTACTATGATTTTTCCTTTTATTCTTTCTTCATAACACTATAATAATTACATAAGGATGACTTGTGGTATATAAAAAGACATTTCTACATAGCCATCAACAATATGGGATAAATCTCCATCGTTTGTTTGTTCATTATATGTACATTTAACTTGGAAGGCGCCGCAGAGTCCTTTACATGTGCGATAATTATTTGCACAAAACATACAAATTCGCAGATCATATTTGCTGTAGTCATATCTGAAGCAGACATCTGAACACCTCGGGATAATTAGCGTTCATTATTTATTCAACATTTAGTGTAACCAGTTATTGTTCTTTGGTTTCTTTCCATTAGAGCTACAAGGTGAATTATACGGCATTTTATGTTCTTTAGGACATATAAAATGGTGATCGATAATCATTTTCTTCGATTAATGTTATTGCTGCATGCCCTTAATTATGTTTTTCCATCCAGTTCAAATTTATATTAAGTACATGTGGATTTTAGGAAGACATAGAAATTTTATTCCAATATTGAACATACATAATTAGTACTGGAACAATATTTTATTAGCTGTTTATTTAGTATTTGTGACAATCATGTTCTTTCGACGTTAAGAGTGAATATTTATTTAATAACTTATATTTTAAGGACATATAAATGTAATTAACTGTCTTGGATTTATTTTACGTTATATGGTATTGTAATAATTATTATATAATATTGAATACTGAATGGAGAAAACAGTAAAGAGACGATGTATTCTATTTGTGCGTCGAATAAATATTAGGTATGGCAATCAAATTTTCGTCTTCTTGTTGATTGATTCAAGATTCTCTGAAAGGTGTAGGTAAGAGAGTACTGTACAAAAAATAATAATAATGAAACAAGAGTTATTAGTTAATATAAATACAGAAAAGAACTACGTTTTATATTATTGGGTATAGTGATAAAATATTCTAATATAGACTAAACGTTTTATGAAGAAACGCCATATTTAAACTGATAAGATTCTTTGAAAATTACCTTCATTTGTCTTGTACAACGCTGACAGAATAATATTATGAACTCACTTTATTCTGATATTTGATTATTAATGGAGTATTTGAAATTGTGATCTAAAAATGTCTGTTCGTTGTAAGTGTGAAAGTAAAAATGACAGATTTTTTTATACACTTAAACTAAGCCAAGTGACAGTCATTTAAAAAAAAAATGTTTGTATTCATAATTTAATAAGACTTAAATGTTTGTAAACGTTTTAAGTAAGAATATTGACCTCAAGTACTCCATGATCTTTGGAGTCACAATCATTAGAATATGGAATTAAATATAATTTTGTACCAAAGCACACAAATGTGACGATTTTTTGTTAAAAACAAGGGTAATAACAAAACCTGTTTTTCTGAACAAGTTTCAATTCAACCACAACTTTGGCTCTCTTTAACTATTTGTGTAAACGGTACATAGTTTTTCTTAGAACGAAAGAAGACGGAAAACCTTGTGCAGTAGGAAGACTTCCGATATTAACATTTAGTGGCAAAAAAGTTATTGTTTGAACTGGTACGTCATTGCAATAATTTGCTTGGGGATTTTTTTTTTGGTTACAAAAAACATTATTTTAGTCCGGACAATTTAGACATTGGAAGTTACATAAATTTACAACAAACTAGAAATAGGTGGGGTCGCTTAAATTATAATTAGAAATAGAACTTTAATAAATCACTGTCCAAGCTCCTCACTCTACCTAACCAAATTTGAAAAGAACCTACTAGGACTACCTTCGAAGTACGTTCCAAGAATCTATTAATGTGAATTCTGGACAAGGCCAAGTCTTTTTGTAGATTGTAGAGAGATTTAGCCGTAAACCTTTCGCTCCCACTTCTACCGCGTACAAATCCACGACGAACCTATTTTGAGTGAGTTCGTTAGTGAGCTCGTAATACATATTAATTGACCTTGATGGTATGGTCTTTGTTAAAATTATCTATAAGAAACGTATAAATTCCTTTTGTCCTAATTGTATTAAAAAAATTGTTACAGTTTTAATCGCAATTATATTTTTTTGGTCTAATTTGATCGGACTGTATTTTTTATTGCGTTATAAATTTTACCTCATTTTCGTTAATAATATTACAGTTGCTTGAATACATACGCCCATGACCGTTGGCAATGATCACTTTACCTAGACAAACAAACACCTATTTTTATATCATATAATATCGATTTACTGGGTTAATGAACTGTTATCAAAAGACATAGCCGTGACATTTGAGGTTGAGGTGGCCAAGGTCGAACGATGGCACTTTATGGTGATAGGAATATAAAGGGAAAATTATAGGTGGCATTCGTAATAGATTTTATGTTTTAATGTATATTACGAAGTTATAAAATATTTATTTATTTATACAGGGTGACTGGTGAATTACTATCGATACTTGAGGACGTGATATTTGACGATCATATATGACAAAATGAAAATTAATATAACATAAATATTAATAAACTTCTAAGTAAAGTTAACCAAAAGTTATGTAATTAATTACGCATCGTGTGAACACCCTACAGATTAGGTATACACACACACACACACACAATCGCGTGCGGCGGCGTGCTGATACAACACCACACCGTCCACACTTGGAACATTTGGAATGTATCCACGCTTTATTTATTTATAGGGAAATTTGGTCAAAAATTAAGTACCTTCTTCTTCTTCTACCTGGCAATTTCCCAGCTATAGCCAGGGTCTGCCTTTCATGTTGTGAATAGTTTTTGGCTATTTATTTTTACGACCGGCCGCCTGCCTGACATCAACCCTCTTTTGGGAATCAACATTAATCAGTGATGTTTAAATACTCTTAGAAAGTACATATGATTTTGAAAAATCACATTGGTACTTGCCCGGGCCAGGATCGAACCCGCGCCCTCGGTGACGAGAGGCGGGCCCTCTAACCACTGAGCCACCACTGACTTTCAAAAATTAAGTACCTATTTTTTTTTATATAATTCGAATGAGAATCATGTACCGAGTATTCTCCTTAAATATTGATAGTAATTCACCAGTCACCCTGTATAAATAAATAAATATTTTATAACTTCGTAATATACATTGACTCGTCAATGGAAAAATTCGTTTTTATACTCCCAAGAAATCAAAGGCCGCGGAATTTTTTTTTTCAATATTTTTTGTATGTAGTTTCTTACGTCTGATAAGAATTGAAATGTTTTTTTTCTATTTAATTATTTTTTACAGGAGTATTTTTTGCTTATCGTAGATTTCCGTTAATTCGGCATTAAGCTGTACAAAGCTGAACTGTTACTAAGTTGTGATAACATCAACCATCCCGTAAACACGTAAATGTAACGTGACGTACTACGTTATACGGTATGCGAGTGTAACGAATAATATGTTTAAAGTTGCTTCTCTGCTCTCTCAGTTTTCAAACGAGAATTAGTAAGACATTATGGTATTAATATAACTTACTAATAACCTTTAACAATATTTTTAATATATGTATAATAAGAAATGCTTCTTAAGGTAATTTATTTTCTATGAAAAAAAAAATCATACTATATAGAATTATTTCCGTCTCTATCTTTTTCTCTATCCCTCTCTTTCTATTCACTTAATTTGATTTCTTTTGTAGACAAAAATAAACTTAAGAAAGTATCAATTTATGGTAGCAATTGTTAACTGGATACAACACGTCAATGACCTACAAGTATCATAGCCCTAGCACAAATACATATATGACTTTGTCATTATTCTATTAAAGAATTTAAAATTATTTGTATTAGATAACATTCGAAAATGTTATAAATAAAATAATTATTTAGTTATTTTAACATGTTATTTTCTGAAATTCAAATTATAATTAGAAAACAAGAGTACTTATGTAGAATTAGCTTTCCGCCCGCAGCTTCGCCCGGGTGGATATCGGTTATATCGCGTTTTCAAGAGAACCTTTCAAAAGTCTGGGATAAAAACTATCCTATATTCTCTCGCCAGGTCCACTCTATATCTGAACCAAATTTTATTAAAATCAGTTCAGTGGTTTAGGCGTAAAAGCGTAACAGACAAACAGGCAGAGTTACTTTCGCATTTATAATATTAGTAGGGCTAACTTCATAGAAAAATCTAGTGCAATTAAAATTTAAGAATACGTTATATTTGATTAGTTTAACAGTGTATTTACAACTCTACAATGATACGTCGTGATCGGTAAATTAACAAACACATCCTTGGTTAATACATACTCATCCTAATTCTAAACGGCTTTATTCACGAATGCGCACGCGCATGACGATCCAAATTTAAAACAGTATCGCGTCGCTCCTCCCGGTGTGCGGTCGTGTTATCCTTGACATAAAAATCTGATTTATTAAGATTGTTCTGTAATATTAAAATTGTCTTAAACTATCTCCATATATGGAAAAAATGATGATGACCATTGAAAAAAAATTGCTTATACAGTGTTGAAAAGTAATTTAATATTTTATTATACATTATTAAAAATAACAAATGATTTATAATTATCATATATATAAATAGCGATACGATAATCTTTTAGTAGAATTTTTATTAAAAGTGACGAAAATACTATAATGACGACTCCCGACTCTCCGTCTCAATCGACCGGGTCATCCGAGGACACCCCCACAGCATCCCCCGGAGCAGAAAAGATAAATAAATTCAATTTCCTCAAACACGCTCATAAAGCTAGGAACAACCCATTCCTTAAAGCACGACCGACACTCACCAGAGAGAGCTCGACAGCCGAATTATTTTCAAGAGAAAGTTCAAGTTCAGATTTCTTCCAGAATTCTAGATTAAATTTATTTGATACCACACCGAAACAAGAAACAAATGATGGCTATGGGAAGGTAAATACATATATTATATTTACATACATTTTACATAAGGTTTGCCAATTAAATTCAGCATTGTTTAATGCACTAATCATTTTGATGTTACGCCAAATCAATATACATGTATATACATAGATTATTTTATTTGAATTTCATTTAAAACCCAGCTATTTGTAGTTCAGTATCTAAAGATAGTTTAGGCATTTGAATTACTATTTATAATCGATACAAATACATTCTGTTACGTATTTCGTTAACTGAAAAGCGTAAGGCTTGTTTATAATCATAATAGTAGTTGACGTCATAATATGTTAGAACATAACACTATGGTGTATACATCAACAATTGTAAACGGTCACACTGTATAATTACAGTAATTGAAATAATATCTTCAAACTGACGCCAAGGAATTATTAATTTGAAAGAATAAGAAATAACTGATTTTATGTTATTTTTATCTATTATATATAGGTTATATTTTTGATACATATAGTCTATATTTATTAGGAAATTTAAAGTTTTTATATATAAATAAATATGTAATCGAAAAAGAAATCTTTCTTGCGATCCCAGAGACTTAACCTATGTCCTATGGAGCTTAACAGAAAAAAGAAGTTTTTTTTTTTTATAAAATAATTTTCGGTATATAATTTAATACATAACCAAGGCTTGATATAAGTCTTAGTAAGTAAATAACCGTCGTTCAGGATATATAAAGTAACATGAATGCAAAGTAATGGTTGCTGTAAATACAAATAATTTATGTAATTTATTAAACTCATTTCTACTGTAAACTGCTCTTTGTTGTGTTATTTCATTAAATACAATATGTAACACGTCTGTCAGTAGTGACATTGAAATATTATGTTACATATACATACAATATTAATAATATATCTTTAAGACTAGCTTCGTCACACGGATATGTCTGAGTTTTCAGTATTGCTATGTATTTGTATTTAAGGTACCAGTGAGTGTGTTATGTATTTTGCAATAGATATCAAATATCGTTACAATATGAGTAAATTATATGTGTGCATTATATAGTAAAATATAGTTATTCTATGAAAAAGTTCTTGAAATCGAAAGCTATAAAAAAATCGTTCAAACTCTTCACCCTTTTTCTATTTTTAATTACGAAATAAACTAAAATATTGTATTTTAATATTGTAAAATCACAACTTTTTAAAGTATTCAAAAGTATTGTATTTTTAATAGTATAAAATCTTATTTTTTTTAAGTATGGATGTAAGACTTGTACTATTATACTTCTATTTCTTCAACCTACATACATTTTATAGATAAATTATAAAATAATGTCAATAGTTTAGTCGTTGAGATACAAACAGACATACAAAATTTAAGATAACATTTTTGTATTATATGTATTTGTATTTATAATTTTTCTTTAAATCCTCTTATACTTTGAACTTTAAACTTGTCTTCTCCTATTATAATTTTTTCTACAAATCGATCCTACATTTTTTTCAAACATATTGTACTGTTTAAAATTATTTGATCTTTAACCAAATAATTTTCAATATTTTTGTTTATATTCAATCTAAATGAGACTGAAACATTTATAAATGTTCATGATTTTTTTAAATACGCTTATTTGTATACATTCATAGTTCTTAATAAAAGCATATGTAAAATTTTATACCCGACCAAAATTTTACAACAAAGTTACAATAATGTACGGAAATGCAATTTTCCCTAAAAATTTATTAATATTTTTTATATGAACTTAAAATATTCATCCTATCAAAGTAAATAAGTTTTAATATTAATTATTAAATAATATTATTTTTCTTACTATCTGTATCTATTTCCTTGGACGGTTTTGTTACAGACAGTTGCCTAAATTAGGATTGACAACGTCTTACAGTCAAATATAAATTGCGCATTGCATTGGGACCACAGTATAATAATATCAGTATAAAAATTCAAAAATATATTATTTAATATTTAAAATTATAACGTTATATCGTTATATCTTAGACTAAATGTTCCCACGACTTGTTTATATTTTTTATAATTTATATTGATAAAAAAAATATTAGTTGGTATATGTATATGAAATAAATTTAGTATTTTCGGATTTATTACGCGTTTTTAATTATTTTAACCACGCACTCTCGAAGTTTCGGTTACTTTGCAGCAACCGTGTTCAGGGGCAGATGATATGTTCCTCGATCAATCTTAGTCTTTGTTGTGATTTTGTTCTTATTTCAATTAACAGTCAAATATATATAGGAACTTATATTGAATATTTTATAAACGAAGTTATATTTTCTTAACTACGAACTTAAAAAAAAGTTTTAGTGGATCACGTAAATTTCATAATTAAATACCACTACAATAATATCATTCTATTAAGCATGATAAAATGTTGAATAAATATTTTGACTATTCTGCATATGTAAAAAATTTATTCCATTTTATTCCATAATCCATCTGATATATTTAAACTATGACAGTAGTGATCGCATCATTGGGTTACAATGGCTTAACACCTACTTGAACAAAGATTCCAACTAGAGAAATATATACTATGATAGTCATTTATGATATGATAATTATATGATATATTCAGAATACTTGTTAAATATTACATCTATATATTTTAGTTTGTGGAAGATTTATGGAAATAGACATACATGTATAGGTCCTTAAATTAATCATTAATAGGTTTGAAACAACAAAAATTCAGTCTTGTTCATTTGAAAATACATATGAGATTGCATTGGAATCTTTGATATATATATTGCGTTTTAAATAAAAAAGCTTAATTAGGTTCTTTTCTTTATTTTTTCTATTATTTTATACAATATCTCATATTTTAAATAACGAAAATGTCGCCTGTACGATACGAAAAACAATAATTTAATCATGATAATATAGATACAAAAATCTAAATAAAAATAAGAACATTTAAAACCAATCTACAATTCAAATAAACATAGTTACTTCGTAAATCAGAGTACTAAAAACGTTTTCAATAAAACATCGCATTTGAATCCCATCTGACTTCAATAAGGATTTATTTCAACAGACATCTGCGTGTATTTGGGTCTGAATCGATAACGCTCCCCGTTTGTATTTAACAGTTTTAGAACGCTTTGGAACTATACAACTACATTAATATGTAATTTAACTTGAAAATTACTCTATCGATTTTAGTCGACTAATACTATAAATGCGAAAGTAACTCTGTTTGTCTGTTACGCTTTCACGCCTAAACCACTGAACTGATTTTAATGAAATTTGGTACAGATATAGAGTTGACCTTGAGAAAGAACATAGGATAGTTTATATCCCAGACTTTTGAAAGGTTCTCTTGGAAACGCGATATAACCGAACTCCACGCGGGCGAAGCTGCGGGCCGAAAGCTAGTTTTATTATATATAATCGATATTGAGGGTATCTTTGAAAAAAAATTGGCCAGGTTTTAAGTTTTTGAGTCAATCTGGCTTAGAATTGAACGTAAGAAATCTTTTTTATGGATTTTATGCTATTAAGTCCAAAAATTCATAAACAAGATATTCCCTTATGCCCAATTGTAAGCCAGATTACTTAGCGATATTGAAGGCAGTTTAAATATTGTACCAATTAACACTTACAGAAAAGTGTTTTAGATGCATAAAGAAACATTAAAATAATGTCCTTGTATATAATTATATACTATTTATAATATAAGAGGACTAATTGCGGTGTAAACAAACAAGTTTTATAATTACGTTCGGTTATGCCCTGAAGGCTTGACGAGAAATTGAGTTTTCATTAAACGATTTGCTTATAAATTACCAATTTATTAACATTTTCTATCAAAGTTGTTTACTCGAAGGCTGCTAACAAGACGATATTGGCCAATTTATACAAAATATTAAATAATCACATAACAAATAAACGAAATACGTAGTTCGTGTATTGAAAATTTTATGCTACAAAGTCCGAACATGAAATATATACGGTCAAGTTGAAGGTTGTGCGCCATTTTAAATTCAAACAATAAGATAATAAAATGTCGTCATAGCTTGGCTGTTGTATTATGTCCTTTAGCTTCATTTCTATAGTTTTTATTATAGGTATAATTTTATGATTTCATTTTATTATGCTATACCATTGAGGTGTTTCAGTTTTTCTTACGTAAATATCTATGAAATTCATGTTTCTATATATATGGTTTTGAATACCATGTTTGTGTTCTACAAATTACGTAATCATAATGGTAATATAGCTTTTTGAACCAATTCTCCCATGATTGAACCAGATTTCTTTCTGTTAAACTTTATCCAGTCTTATATTGATTATAAAATGATTTTTTTCTATCTATTTTGCATTGTATAATTCCAACTACGTAGTTTGAATAGTGTTCTCATTGCCATGAGTGCCCTTAGAGATGAAGCATTTATTTAAAATACTCTAAGAAGTATGCATGGATTGGTCCAAAGACCTTTTTTTGAAGGACCGCAAAATACCCTTTTTGTGATCATCTTGTATTCGGGTTTTGTTAACAAGTCTTTTAGTGTATGTTGTCACGCCTTTAGGAGATAACTATCTTGCTCATTTCTTGTATAGAGGATTAGAGTAAATTTTCGCTTTGTTGTAAAATGATCAAAGATTTCTTTAAAGTGGGATTGGCTATGCTGTAAACTTTCAGGTATCTGTTTAGGTATTTATAAGTCAGACATTGAAAGAGAAGTAGTATATTTAAAAGGTATTTATAGTAAACTAGAAGACCTGGCGAACTTCGTATCGTCCTATAATCAAGAAATATCTATTACGTTTTTTTTTTTATATTTTTGGAGTTTACCTGTAAGCCATATATCTTCATGTTTTGAAGTGCGATAGAATGATTGACATATTAGTTAGTTGTCAAATCTAATGTCAAAAAAAAACGTTTGTATGGGAAATAGAAAAGGGCTGTTTTTATGGTTTTCCCAGTAATTCAATTTTTTTTCAGCTTTTATACCTTCCCTGAACCTCCACGAACATTTCAAGACTAAGATAAGATAAATCCGTTCAGCCGTTCTCGAGTTTTAGCGAGACTAAGGAACAGCAATCCATTTTTATATATATAGAAGATAGGATTTAGTATTTCTTTGCTTTTATTACAATACTTTAGAGCTTTGGAGAGACCTTTTTGTTAGAAGGTTTGTGGTAATTTTATTCACATCTACACTCCTTGTTTATATAAGTTCTGAATCAATACCCACTCATTCGGTTTTTACTGTGTTGGATCAATTTCCCTTTTAGCACATTTCTAACTAAAGACGATCAGTCGATTATAACATAATATATTTTTCTAATTATATTTATCTCTCAATATAAACAAATTCCTTGTTTATGTGTTGGTTGGGAATCCATGACCTATTTTTTACGGTTTGCTTGTTTCTGCTAACAATTATAGGATTTTGCGAAATTTATAGCTATAAGAATTATGGGGAAAACAATTTTATTTCAACTATATTTATAAAAATGTATCAAAGTTATGTTAGCTCTGTTTTTGATTAATTTTTCAAACAAGTATCGGAGTTCTGCTTGTCTATACAATGGTCTAAAAAAAAATCTTGTATCCGATGTAATTTTCTATTTCAGGGCTATCACGGTAAATACCCTTCTGTTGTTTTTAAAAAATTTCATAATCCCTTTATTCTTTTGATCTTCTATTGTCTCGCATCGATTTTTTGCGAGTGTCGTCCTTGTTTCATTAGAATAACTTCAAGTTTAATATGTAAATGCTCGAAATATTAGTAAAAAGCCCTGGATCCTCTTGAATTGAAATATTTACATACCTTCTTAAACATTTCAATAAAATAAATCCACTTTATAGTTACAATCAGCGAATCGCTGAGGATTATCCATTGAAAGTGGATTATCTTCATCCAATTAACAGTAGTTCTCTTTATTGACGTGCCTGTTTAAGCGTGAAAATGCTTTTACGACGTATGTACATGTTTATTATATAACATGAAATCAATTGAAAGGTATATAAAAGTTACTAATACCAACTGTTACTGCTTACTAAACCAAAAACTAAACTAAATGTCTATCTGGACATCCCTTTAGCTATAATTAAGTTTTAATACATGTTAGCATATTCATATAGCTATTTGAATTTCAATGGAGACTTAACTACTATTCATATCTCCGCTTCAGACATGGCCATTATAGAAATTAATATTCATAAAGAGTAAGTAAGATTTAGTCTCTGTTTTATTCCGACACAAAGGCTGATATTGCCTTCATAGGAAATGTTTTGAATTTCACAAAATTTTCATCGAATACGCCGAAATTATTGGCTAAAAATGGACAAATATTTTAACTAAATATCAAAAAACTTTCATAGTGATAATGACGTAATTGCTTGTTTCAGGGAGTTTCCTTCATAGGTTGGCATCAAAGAACGAAGTTGGAAAGAATTCTTCTCGTAATAACAGCATTTCTTCTGGTGGCTATTCTTCTTACCACCTGTTTATTGCTGACCATCAGAGGACCTTCCTACATACCAGTGCCACCATGTTACAACCCTGAACCCAAAGGTAATTTACAACTAACAAATCATTGAAAGAATGACTAGTATGTTCATTTTTGTACGGAATTACTGCATTGTTCATATCTTATTTAAAATTTAACTTCTAATACGTTTATGTAAAATGAGGTAAAATCACTGGGTAATTTGTAAGTCGTTTATAGCATTAGGTACGTCGTAATTTTTAAGATGCGTTCTACAGACCTTTGTATATAATTCAATTCTTTACTCCCTATGTGTGTAATCAAAATTTTAATATATTTATATTTTTATACATTTATATTTCAGTTATTCAGTGAACTTTTTAGTATTTTTATGGAAGAAAAATATCTTAAAACACAACACAGACTTTCCTGTCTACAAACTCACTATATATTAGGTAATTGATAAATTCATTTGAAACAACTTTACCAAATGAAAATAGACACATTTAATACTTTAACAAACAGACGCCGTCGTAAAATATAATTGATTACTAAGCAAGGGCAATAGTAGGGCTAGCCCTTGTCTCAAGGTCGTATAGAAATTTTATAGGTATAACTTACTCAGCTTTGTTTAGTGAAAATAACGTAATAAACAGTTTTTAGTGAATTCCAAGGATATTGTATATATCGGATTTATTACAAATTCGTTGTTTTTAAAGAGAGTGACGCCATAATCGCCGATCACCAATGTCACTTCTTTCAGTACGTTCCATAATATTTAAAAATGAAACTTCATTTGTTCTTAATGTTCCTGTATTTCTCGAAGGTTCTTCATAATCACATTATTTAATGGTACGCACTCACTGAACTCTGCCGCCGTGCGTCCAGACGTCATATTTATACTAAGATTCAAACATAGTTCTATTCTCCTTTAAAACAATCTTTGATTTCGTTTTACTTTTAACAATAATCATGAATACTAATAAATTTTAATAGTAATTGATGAAAGGCTCAAGTTATTGTCATGCTGCACCCGTTATTAAAGCTGATAGCGCCGATATACATATATAGATCTATATATTATATTAATTATTAGAATTAGTTGATACCAGACTCTTTCTAAGATTTATAATACCCATTGTCATTGCTAACGTTGCAAATATTATTATGTATTATACTCGTAGTATAACGCTATTGTTTAGACTATAATAGTTAATAAAGTGGTCTATGTTATGCGTAAATATCTCAAGCGTGAGATAATAGTGAGCGTAGGATCAGTGCTCAGTCTAGACTGTCTTTCAGTCTTTGAAAAGCGAAAAATATTGTATTGCAATATCAATTAATAAGTACTTAATTAGTATTATTAAGTAACAATTGTTTTTATTTGTTAATATAATCGAAATAATTGAGAATTAAATCCTCAACTTTTATTCTTTTTTTGTTATACCTTGAATATATTTTTTTAATTTTATTATATTTAAAATCAAATAAAGAAATATAAGTTTTTAAAAGCGTGTGATTGTTTTGAGTGATTAATTCACAATTTAAAGTAGACTTAAGTATGTATTCTTCTTCATTATCTATTTTCTTTTTAAATATAAAATTAAAGACAAGTCCTTAAGATAATTACATCTGGATACCATTTCTTATTATTAAGGGACACCTTTCAAAACATCGGTAGAAATAATAAGTAGATTATATACACAGTTTTAAACGATATAATTATTTAAGTTTATATAAATATTATTATATTACTAGTATGTGTGGCAAATTATCCTATATTCAGCCATTTACTGTCGCCCCGGCCTTAAGTTTATGACATCTATACCACATAAAACAATTGACACAATTATCGTTATACCTCTATGTGACCGACTTTAATAATTTTATTATACAATAAACTTTCAATCGACATAAGTATATAAAAGATATTAATATTTTGTCTTTATTAAAATGGTGATGATATCTTTTAGAGAGGTTTACAAACGAGATGTTTTACTAATATAATTTAGCATATCTTCTTACTGGCAATTTTCCCAGCTATGGCCAGGGCCAGCCAGCTATGGCCAGGGCCAGCCAGCTATGGCCAGGGCCAGCCAGCTATGGCCATGCCTTACATGTTGTGAATAGTTTTGACTAATTGTTTTTACCAGCCGCCTGCTTGACATCAACCCTCTTTGAGAATGCATTAATCAGTGATGTCTAAATAATCTTAGAAAGTTCATATGATTCGGAAAAATCACATTTGTACTTGCCAGGGCCAGGATCGAACCCGCGCCCTCATGTATGAGAGGCGGGCCTTTTAGCCACTAGGCCACCACTGACTAATATGATTAGCATATATCTGGCAGTAATATGTAGTGGAATTAATTTTGTATATAATTGTCTGTTATTTCAGAAGAGAGCAGCGTATGTTTATCAGGTTCGTGTATTTACACAGCCAGCGAAGTTATCAGGGCTTTGGATGAAACACAAGATCCCTGTGAGGATTTCTACGATTTTGCATGTGGTGGGTGGTTGAAGAATAATCCTATACCAGAAGGGAAATCAAGTTGGGGTATATTCAGCAAGATTGAACTACAGAATCAGCTTATTATACGCTCGGCAATCGGTAAGAAAAATATTATTAAAACTACAATTTAAATTGAATATAAGTTGTTCTTCAATAGAAGCACATTAATCGCTTGATTCATTTTTATGATATTAACGAACTAATTGTACTCGTAATCATAAAATAGTATAAAAATATTTATTATTATTATTCATTAAATTAACAATTAACAACGGTTATTCATTAATACATTATTTTAACTATATATCTGCATAGAATAATTTATTACATAAGGATATTAAAACGCTGTTAGTATTTTCTAATATAAATGCTGTTTATTTTTTCATAATATTACTTTGACACAAGTTTCAAGCTAAATAATCTCATTACATGGTTTCCTATTACGTGAGATTTGCATGCTAATTATTGAGTTATATTGTTCTTTATACTTTAGGTAGATGCAAAATCTCATTGTATTCTTAAATCTATATTTCTGAATACTGGTTAGTCTGATCCAAATATAATTAGAGTTGTTTTGTGAATACGTCTGTCACAAGTGTCTGTTAATAAATTGATCGTTTATTTTCGTTTGAGTTTAAGAAAGACACGTGAATAACTAAAACAAATAAAAAAGTCGCACATGCGTACATTCGTGTCGTGATCGATATTTGCTAAACAACCTGAAAGCAATCTTATTTGCTTATGATAGAATCTAAAATTTAACGCACATAATTCGATATACATTCAACAGCCGTAAAAGATTGGGAAAAATTACAATAAATCATAGTTTGATATAAAATAAATTTCAAATATAATATTGTAAATGCGAAACTAACTCTGTAAGTTTTTACGCCTAAACCGCTGAACAGATTTTGATGAGTTTTGGTATAGAAATAGATAGAACCTAAGAAAAGGACGTACCTTTTAGACCTTCCCGAATGTCGAAATAAAACTTCACATTTTTGTATCGTGATATTGAACCATAATTCAAGAAATCACCTTATAAAATCTCGAATTCGATCCTGATTTCAATTGGGATTCTGACGCCAATTCTTATATTACACAAGTGGAACTACTTTTTTTACTTGTATCCCGATACCAATCTTGGCCCCGATCCCGAAAGTACACGAGCAGAACCATGAAATGCATTTCGGGTTTAGGGCCATAGTGATAGAGAACAACTCTCATGTTCAAACAGCCAGAGTCGCGTGCAAAAGCTTGTATTATATAAGTGTAAATTTTATTCGTTTACTTCTTTCGCAATTCTCTTAAAGTCTGTTTATATCCAATTTATATCATAAAATGATACGTTCGTATTTTTGTTACCTAAACTCCCCAGAACTACTAACGGTATTATATAACTATGATGAAAAACAAATAGGTTTAGTTTTACGTAGTTAAAATTTTAACAATGAAAGGACTTGTGTATATTAATCTTAATGGAACATCTCGTCTGCCAGTGATCACGGTTGCTGAAAAGTAATCGAAACGTCGGGAGTATGTAGTATGTCCGAAAAATATTGGTTTCATTTAAACTAAATTATAAAATTTATAATACACTTATAAATGAAATTCTAAAACAAAGATTGAAATGTATTTTTAATTACTTATTCTTAATTAGCGTCTATCCGATTAAGTACACATGAGCTCCCGATGTTAATTATATCATTGTCTATATACGCTAAGTTTATAAGAACGAAGAATCTTCTATATATATAAAAATGGATTGCTGTTCCTTAGTCTCGCTAAAACTCGAGAACGACTGAATCGATTTGGCTAATTTTAGTCTTGAAATACTCCTGGAAGTCCAGGGAAGGTTTGAAAGGTGAGAAAAATTGATTCATTACTGGGAAAACCATAAAAACAGCCCTTTTCTATTTCCCATACAAACGTTTTTTTTGACATTAGATTTGACAACTAACAAATATGTCAATTCTGTTTGATTGAAACAGGAAAAACCTGATTATTTATGGCCTTTAAGACGGAATAAAGTTCGACTGGTCAGCTACACCTACATATATTACTCTTGACCAAACTAACGCGGACGAAGTCGCGGGCAAAAACTAGTACCTATATAAAAATGCATTGCTGTTCCTTAGTCTCGCTAAAACTCGAGAACAGCTGAACGGATTTATCTTATCTTAGTTTTGAAATGTTTGTGGAGGTTTAGGGAAGGTATAAAAGCTGAAAAAAATTTATTCATTACTGGGAAAACCATAAAAACAGCCCTTTTCTATTTCCCATACAAACGTTTTTTTTGACATTAGATTTGACAACTAACTAATATGTCAATCATTCTGTCGCACTTCAAAACACGGTGATTTATGGCTTACAGGTAAACTCCAAAAATATAAATAAAAAAACGTAATAGATATTTCTTGATTATAGGGCGATACGAAGTTCGCCAGGTCTTCTAGTAAAAAATAAAAATTGAAATAAAAAAAGTAATGGTATCGAAAGAGTATTTATGCTGAAATATTTAGTGTTACTGAAATTCACTCAAGTAATTGCAGTTCGAAATAAGTAAAATAGTAATATGGCTAATTATAACTTAGCATATAACTTAGCATCTGTAGAAATAGCTCTAACTTCTATACTATTTACTTCTACTATTTTTATAACTATAAACTTCTTAGTAAACATTTGATTATTACAGAAAAAGTTAACGTATCTGATAAGAATAGCGCTGAAACGAAGGCGAGAATATACTACGACGCATGTATTGATGGAAATGAGACTATAGAAAAATTGGGAGAGAAACCTCTCATTAATGTGATAAAGAAGTTGGGAGGATGGCATCTTATATCGAGTACACTGATAAAACAGAAGAAATGGGACCTACAGAAACTGCTACAGGAGGTTCAAAATACGTTAGTTGTGATTCATTTCTTGTATGATAATAATCAACTGTATAAACACTATTTACTTTAGTAATATAAACACGTCATTTCTACATTAGAAAGTATTTTGGTAATCATTCGAGATTAATTAAAATTTCAGTTACAATCTGGGAGGATTCTTCAATTGGGCGGTCACGGAGGATGATAGAAATTCATCGAAACACGTCATTGTGGTAAGCTGAAAAATATCTGTAATAAAATTCTTAAATAATTTATCACATTTATTGTTTATAGACGTTGGAATTTACATTTCGAAAAGGATAAAATTTTTGTTACCCAGCAGTCCTGGGCAAATACAGAATACAAAACTCTTTATTTCTCTTCTCTCCGTTTGTTATAAGAAATTTCTAGCAAGTAAATTAATACTATATTACTTTCATTCGACGACCTGTATCTTAAAAATATATATTTTAGTGCCCACTTTCTTGATATTAAGACAGGTCAAAATACCATAAAAAAATGGTAAAACCGGAAAAAAATCATTTAAGACACGTTAGGGAGCGTTCAAGTATTACGTAACGTAATTTTTGAAGATTTTTAACCCTCCTCCCCTCCGTTAACGCACCGTAACGTTTTTCTGTACCCCCATTTCCTAAAAGTTACGTAACACTCAAGTGATCAAGTTCATCTTAAAATCGTAAAAAAATATGTAATAGTTTGTTATAGTTTTAATCTACTAAATGAAATAAGATCACTGATGCCAATCTGTGTCTTTTGAAGAAATCACAGTGTGAACACTATGAACTCACATATAAACACTAACGAATATTGACCACGGAAGCAACATTAAATGACTTACAATGCAATCTAGGTATCCCCCTTAAAATATTAATTAAGAGGTTATCAAACTTGAGAGAACAAATTCAAAATGTTGACCAGACCAATCGAGGGATTATGTTTGTCTGGTCGACATAATGCAACGTATATGAAAAGGGTTGCCAGTTTGGGGTTTTAATTCATTAACTTTTTTAGAAATATTGCTACGTAACGTTTTGTAAGAGACACCCCCTCCAGCCCATCAAATTGCGTTACGTAATACTTGAACGTTCCCTTACCTGTACAAAAAAACTATTTTATTCCAGGGACAAAAACTTCTAAATAAACTCCAGTGAACTCAAATAACAATTTTCATTCACAGCTAGATCAAGGCGGATTAAATCTACCCACACGAGACAATTACCTGAACGCTACGGCCCACAAGAAAGTACTTGACGCGTATCTAGATTATATGACAAAGATATGCACATTACTTGGAGCTAACGAAACAGAAGCTAGGGCACAGATGACGAAAGTAATACAATTTGAAACGGAACTCGCTAATATTACCATCCCATCCGAAGATAGGAGGGATGAAGAGGGATTGTACAATCCGTATACAGTGAAGCAGTGGCAACGAGAGGCGCCTTTCCTGAACTGGTCGATGTTCTTCAACGACGCTTTCAAACTCGTTAATAGGAGTGTTAGTATCATTTAAAATATGTATAAATAGGATTTTAGGTCCGTCTTTGTATCATATAAGTCTTGACTTGAACTTAATTGCATTTTATTTATTAGATAATGATGAATAGTTTTAATATAATGATACTTAAGAGATATATAATATACAGTTTATGAAATTTTAATATAAAAGAAAATTAAACTTCCTTTGTATAATACTTAACAATTTAATATTAACCGTTTCATGTTTTATTTAATTTAATGATTGTTATTTACTTCATTGCAGATATCGGATAACGAAAGAATAGTTGTCTACGCGCCGGAATATTTTAGAAATCTAACGAGACTCGTAAGAAAATACAGCAAGAGTGAAGACGATCAGAAGTATGTATTATATTAAAGGTTATATAAAAAAATGTAATAAATAAAATTAACTGAACTCATATATAAAGAATACGTAAATTAATTAGATAAGACGATAATATTTGAAGTATTTAAATAACTTTAATACGTATACCAATTTAAGAGTTACCTAAGTTCGTATCTATATCCCATATGGGCATAGAAGTTAAGTTAGAATATTAAAAAGCTTTATGAACTATACTTAATATTAAATTTTGGTCGTATATTTGAATTAAATTAGCGCATTCATTCATCACCAAAAAAATTATTGCAGAACTCTAACGAGTTACATGATGTGGCAAGTGTCACGTTCGTTATCGTCGTATTTGTCCAAATCTTTCCGTGACGCGACCAAAATATTGAGGAAAGCGTTGTTTGGATCTGAAGGGACCGAGGAGTCTTGGAGATACTGTGTCACTGATACTAACAACGCTGTTGGTGAGATAATAATGTTTAAGTATTAATATAATAAATTAATTTGATCGTAGTCCACTAAAATGTTCTAAGCTATAGCCAAAGGCAAGCCACTAAAATGTTCTAAGCTTGTAGACTACATATGAAGCTATATTAGTTCTTTTCTATATATCTTTTTTTTATGAGAAAATACTTTTTTGGTAAATCCAAAAAAACTTATTCTTCTCACGTAACTTAATGCCATTCGTATGAATACAAAACGTCACCGAAATTGGTTATACTTTTTTAAAAATAAATAAAAAAACGATCCTTGATGCTTATCCAAAACGTCATAAAAATACTTAGTACGTTAACAATAGTAATTTCAAATTTATGCTTTATGAAATAAAAAAAGAAATTTAAAATCAATTTTGTTGATGACATGATAAAATTCATCATTTATATATACTATCAATATGTAATAGTTTATTGTAGTATTCAATAAAACGATATTAACTTTGTCATGTATGTATTGTGCTAAGGAGCAAACTGAATGACAGCAACTAATATTATAAAGTAATCTACCTACATTATACTTGACATCATATTATTATTTAACAATACCGAGCAAGCATAACTAATACATAACATTTATATAACTTTATACAGGTTTCGCTGTCGGTGCGATGTTCGTGCGCGAAGTTTTCCACGGAGAAGCGAAAACTCAGGGCGAGATAATGATAGACAACATACGGGCGGCATTCAAGAAGAATCTGAAGAACCTCATCTGGATGGACCAGGAGACCAGGGATGCTGCGGAGATTAAGGCCGACGCTATCACTGATATGATAGGTACTGGAATCATATAACACTTATTCATTAATTAAGACCAAACCTCTTAGCATTCACTGGATTCACGGTGCGTGTGTCGGGTCCATCGTTGTAGTGAGAGGAGCTTCAACAGTGACTGGGACTTGTGACCCAGGTGTAGGTTTAAGGGACACCTTAACTAACGCGCGTTATACGCTCACCTCCACTGTCCTCCATTTACTATTAAAGTATATATTAGAATATAAAGCGTAGTTCTTCGAAACTATTTTCATCCAAAATCACTTTTATGATAGTGTTAATTTTTTGTTAGTAGTTAATAAAAACAGCTACGTGCATTTCTTCTCTCTAAAAACATGTTACACTAAAACTACACTTTTAACAAAATTTGTCTGTTTGTTTGTTCCGGCTACTCTTTGAAATGGCTGGACATATTTTGGTGACAATTTTACTGGCAGATAATTGATGTAAAAAGGAGTAACTTAAGAAACTTTTTATCTAGACCCTGAGTCACAACGCGAAATGAATCGTTATCAGGATCGAGTGGAAGCGTTACGCAAGTGGCACTTACAAATTTATCCAATGTATTGTTTTAATTAAACAGACGGAGTCACGGATAACAGCTAATATAAGCAAATATTTTAACTAAATACTTAATTTATTATATAAACATTATTTACTTTGAAATGAATATAAAACTACCGCCCATTACGAAGTCCCGTATGCTATAATTTGGAAATTATACAAATATTTAGATAAATGAAACAAACGTAGGATTCGTACTTGATTAAAAGACGTTAGAATTTGTAATATTCTTTGATGGATTTTATAAATTTGATCGATCTTAAATTTCCTAGTAAGCATTTATTGTACTTTGTTAATTGCTTTCATACACCTTATCATTGTAAATTATGTTTTACACCACTGATATTACGACCCATATTTGAATGAAATCCATTAATGTTTAAACTCTTAAATTCCAGGTTTTCCAGACTACATACTGAATAAAGACGAACTGGATAAACAATACGAGGAGTTAGACGTGAGACCGAATAAATACTTCGAGAACAACATTGCTTTCAATACGTACAGCTTGAAACATGATCTGAGGAAATTGGATAAACCAGTCAATAAAACTAAATGGGGTAAGTTATTAGACTCTAAATTGTTAATAAGGGACTTAATAGATGTGTCTTATTCAGCAATAAGATCTGTTCTTTCACAAACACCATGTATATAGATATATAATAAGATAATGGAAATTAATATCAGATGGTTGATCATTAAAATATTAATAATATTTAATCTTAAGCATAAAGTTTTTACGTGTTTGCATTGAAATAAAACTATGTTTAAAAATAATATAATTTTTACATGAAATAAAAAAAAATAGATCTAATTCAGTATGATGTATGTATAATAAAAAAGACATTTTTCTCATAAATTTAGAAATCCATATTACAAAACATTTTTATATCGAAGTAGGCATAAATAATACACATATGATATTAGATTACGTTGCCTCAAATTCTTCATTCAATAATTTCCTTTTCAAAGTCATACATAAAATTCTTTATATATTTTTTTTTGTCTTCATCATACATAACACCGTCCATTCCTTATAAATTTCTTTATAAATTTTTCCTTGACTTCATCAGGTATGACACCATCCACTGTGAACGCGTATTACACGCCCACCAAAAACCAGATAGTATTTCCAGCTGGTATTCTACAACTACCCTTCTATGATGGAGACAATCCCAAGAGCGTGAACTACGGAGCAATGGGCGTTGTAATGGGCCACGAACTGACACACGCGTTTGATGACCAAGGACGTGAATATGATAGGTGAGATTTAATTATATACTCATTAATTAATAATTATTAATTCGCTGGCTGTGTAAATACACGAACTTGATAAACATACGCTGCTCTCTTCTGAAATAACAGACAATTATATACAAAATTAATTCCACTAGATATAACTGCCATATATATGCTACATTATATTAGTCAGTGGTGGCCTAGTGGTTAAAAGGCCCGCCTCTCATGCATGAGGGCGCGGGTACGATCCTTGCAAGTACCAATGTAATTTTTCCGAGTCATATGTACTTTCTAAGAGTATTTAGACATCACCAATTAATGCATTCCCAAAGAGGGTTGATGTCAGGCAGGCGGCCGGACGTAAAAACAATTAGCTAAAACTATTCACAACATGTTCTGTGAAAGAAGAACATGTTGTGCCGACCTTACATAAATTGTGAACAGGGCAGGAAAAAATTCAATTAATTCTTTATATTACATCAATAATTTTTAATATTTTTTACTTCAGATTTGGCAATTTGAACCGTTGGTGGAATAACGCTACCATAGCACGTTTCAAGCAAAGGACTCAATGTATTCAGAAACAGTATTCAACGTACGAGATTGAAGGCCAGCATTTGAATGGAAAACAAACTCTCGGTGATTATTCATTTCAACATATATAATTAATACACGAAATATATAAGCAGTTAATGGTGAACTTGTGTCGGCAATTTTTTCTATATAAGATCGATTAATTATGGGTATTTTTTTAAGTATATTGAACTAAAATGTTCTCAGTATCTTGTAAACACTAAATGGTGTTTACTTTAGAGATATACCTACATATATTTTACCTTTTCGTGTTTATAAGATTGCCATATGATGAACATATATTCACTCGTTCATTGTCATAGTATATGTACTTATTTAAATTTAACATAGATATGTGTATTCCTTATCTTATTTTCCTTTAACCATTCATATAAAAAGTTGATATTAATTTTGGTTTAGTACCTTCATGTTCGTTTAAAAGTAGAGAGAAATGTTTTGTTTTAAATATTACTCTCTATTATATATCTCTAAAAAAGAGTATTTCTCATAAAATCTATAGAAAAAATACAATATTATTTAATAATTCTGTCAAACAGGCGAGAATATAGCAGATAACGGAGGCTTAAAGGCATCGTTCCACGCTTATAAGGAGTACAGTAAAAACGCCAAAGTTAACCTCACTCTACCTGGTTTGAAGTACAACCACAGACAATTATTCTTCATATCTTTTGCTCAGGTATGTCTAAAAAATAATATTAAATATTCATACTTATAACTGTCACTTGTCACTATCATTTTTTTTATGTCATTTTTGTCAAGATATGGCCAGTTATATTTAATGTTTATAAAACGAATTTACTATTTTTTGATATATTATAATTAAATAATAATAAAACAATCTTATATCACACAGAAATCAGTAATTATGCAAGTATTTCGTCAAAATATTCATAAATTTATGCCATTGTTATATCCACTTGCACAGAATATACTGCCAATGTCACATAAAAGAAAAAAAAATAGTTATATTATAATTAATTACTTTATAGGTATGGTGTTCAGCAATGACAAAGGAATCAACGAAAATGCAAATCGAAAAGGACGATCACACAGTGGCGAAATACAGAGTTATCGGACCAATATCGAACCTTCGAGAATTCTCTGAAGAATTCAATTGTCCCGTAGGAAGTAAAATGAACCCGAAACATAAATGCGAGGTATGGTAAAGGGTGATCCGTCTATAAGGAGTTCATTTAAAAAAGAGGTTTTATTGAAAAAAAAAATGTCTTTATATAATGTTGCTTTAAATATACTATTTAATTTTAATCAACATATAGTATGAAGTGCCAAACTGTTTTGCTTTTTTTTTTCTTATAATTGAGAACGCTATGCGGTGTTAAACGGGTATTGTAGCTTGTAATTAATATTTTAAATGATAGCTTCTGAAATTTATAATGTATAAATTCAAACGCACAGACCGGGATGAATTATAAACAATATTTTGTTATATTTAATATCCATAAGTTATATTATCTTATTAAGTTTTCTATATAGTGTCTCTCATTATATAATCGTTATCTAAAATGTTTATATTTTCAACACGTACTTATTGCTATAAACTATAAAGTCATAAATATGTACAAATTACAACAACAAAATAATATAATCTGTCGTTTAAAATGAGATCCATGTTTGATGTCAAATATATATATTATTTCTTTCTGTTTTGTAATTTAAAAAAAGTTTTACGGACCAACGGTAAAAAAATATGATGTTAATGCCTTCCATCACATACAGTTTTTATTTGTTAAAGTAAATGTGACTAATATATGCGGCAGGCACCGCAGATGAATATTAAAGTAACATTTTATCACACAGAGGGCGCTGGTCGTTTAATATTATTTTCCTAAGTTTTTAACAACAACATTAACCTATTTTTAACCGAGTCACATTTACTTATATTATAGATATATTTGTGTGATATAATAGTATTTTTAATGTTTTTATAGGCTGTATACAATATCATTATTGTATTAACATATATGTGGAATGCTTTAAGCGCTTTTTGTGTCTATATATTAGATGTTAGTGATATTTTAAATGTTCATTTATATCTATCCCTTTCATCTCAATGTTAAACAAAAAGGATGGCATATGCTTTTTCTTAGTAGTAATCTCAAAATTTACTTAGATTTAGGACTAAAATGTATATCTCATATTATTTAAAACTCTTGAAGTTATTCATGTTATATAAGGTAAATATTTCCAATTATTGACAATAACAATCAATGATCATCAAAAAAAGTCATCAATATATTAGTAAAATTTTACTATCACAAGAACAAGAAATTGTCAACATACATAAGTCATGAATTTTAAGAGTACTGCTTTGTATAAGATATATTTAGTGCCATCATATTAAATTAAGTTTTTCTTTCAAAAACATAAAGTACATAGAAAAATAAATATTTAGAAATAAAAAAACAATACAATTAATTCAATATCCATGTATTGATCGTGCCTTTAGATTTGGTATCATTGTAAAATGATCTGTTAGGAAAAAAATTATAACATAATAAAATTTCTCTAACATCTGAATAAATACAGTATTAAATAAATAATTATATAAAACATTCGCATATGTTGATTATGAATAGAACTAGTCATTCATGTAACCAGTAATTTAATACTAGTCTTAAGATATATACATATATATTATATACTATGTGTTTGTATTGAAATATATAGATACTACTTACATATGTTAGATACAGTCAATTTAAGTAAAAACAGTTTTTATTATTTATAACAGAGTATAAATTGAAATTTTTATGATACATATCTCAGTAATTTTCTATTTAATTATGTAGTTGTATCCATACATATAGTAGTGAAATAAAAATGATTTTTATTAAGTATACATTGATAGTAATATAATTATTTTCATTGTTTTTACATAAACATTTAAAAACTTTATTTTTGTGCACCTTTTATTTTTATCAATGGTATATTAAATGTGTTAGTTTATTAAATTTATGTTTTAAAAAACATATATTTTAGTTTTATTTACTCCCTCCTTATAATATAAGTATGCCAATTCATATTAATTATTTGATATAATTATATTTTTGTATTTCATATTAATTGACTTTAAATTTTGATAAGATTCTAAAAGAATTAAGTAGGTGTCGCCACTAGCATATTGAATAGGTATTGAAGTAATAATTTCTTATTGGACCGTAACTCCTTCGTAACGTAACGCGTTACGGAGTCATTAAGTCTGGTTACCCTTTCTGTCAATCAAACGGCAGGCGTTTTACTCGAATATGGCAAAAGTATTTCAAGAATTATGCAATTTATTAATAAATAGCTTATATTTATACATAGTATGGTTATGCTTGGAATAGTAAAAAAATTATTATAAAATTTCTTAAATTTTTACAGGAGTTTGGATTTAAGTTTTCTTCTGATCAAGCTATAATTTTTATATAAAGTCTAAATTACAATTTGAAATGATTAAAGAAACCAGAAGTAGCCACAACGAACCCTGGAACTGTAGGTACTTAGTGCAGTCTATCCAAGATTTTTAGATGACATACAATGTAAAATTTTCGTTGCTTATTATATGTAGCCATGAAGACGAAGTACATGTGTAAAATTTTATTCTACATATTCCAGAACCGTTATAGTCCGTTAGACTTAAGCTGAGCTTTGCATTTGTGTGAGTGAAAGTAAAAATAGAGTTAGACAACAAACTTTTAGAATTCAATTTTATTATCATTCAAATATATACATAAGTACTAGATCTATTCTACATTAAAAATGAAATAAGCAAAACTTGTAAAAGGCCAAATTGAAATACTATTAAAAAAAATTATTAAGTAATAAAAATTTTGAAAAAACAATATAAATTTTTCTTCTCTTGACATTGTGTTTTCAACATTTGACGTTGCTATCAGTACAAAGGGTGAAGTGAGGAAGGTGCGGGGAGAAGTAAAAGCAGAATAAACCGGTTAAAAACTAGAAAAAAATGTGACATTCAAAAGTTTTTCATCTCATCTACACTATCCGTGTGCACTCACACAAATGCAAAGCTCAGCTTAAATCAAACGCACTATACTAGTAATTAAAATATTATTTAATCCTTAAACTTTTTTTGAACAAATAATCTTTCTCATATTATCAAATTATTTTTCATACAATTTAATTAATAACCTAAGCTTTTCTCAATTTCTACAATTTCAATTTTAAATACTTCAGCTTAGATTATTTTATGTTATTACTTCTATCCAGCGTCTTGAAACGCACACATGTGTTTTTTTTAATTATAATGATATTATTATCCGTCTTAACAAACCCTACGGGTTATGTTAGTTACAATATTCATTAATTTGCTGGCAATCTATTATGAAGAAGACTTTCTAATACAGGCTATATTAATTTTCATATACAAATACAAGAAACAGATTATATCTGTTTATCAAATTCCACGTCTAAACAATACCGGTGTGTCAAACTGAGATTGACAATTCACGCATTCATAAAATGGCGGATAGAATAATATAACATGATCGAAGCATTGCTGCGCTTAAAAAGAGTATTTCAAATTTTGAGATTTCCGATCGTTTTGCCGCGAATGTCAAAATTTATCAAACAATTCTAAAAAATATACATGGTTATAAATTTTATTTTACAGTACAGTTTTATCAATATACTTTAAGAAAACTTTCATTAATTGTTTTTTTGTATTTCAGTGTTATTGGACCTTGAATGGACGAGGTGAAATGTATGAATTATAAAGTTTTTGCGTATTTTGTTTAGAAACATAAGTTTGAGGTATTTTAGTATAAAATGGAGCAAATCGTGGTTAAAACTGAGGTGCAACCAAATGGAGACATATTACTATTTTATGTTGATGGTGAGATATAAACTTAAGTGATTCGATGGTTTCTTTTGATATCTTAGAAGGTTAAAAGTTTGTTATAAAATTTTGTAATATTATTGTAAACAAACATAATTCTAATGCATGTTTAGACCTTTTAAAACATTATCAGATGAGATCTTACAAGAAATAGAAAGATATTGTAGTTAAGTGATTAAATGAGTTCAATTAAGATGTTTATGACCTGAATACACAGTGTAAATAAAATTTCAATTTAAGAAAGTTCCTCTATTATTGATTAATTACATATAATCATTACTTAATTTATACCAGTTCTACATATGATCATCCTATGATTTAAAATATATCTATTTTCTTGAAGAGTTTATAATTTATATGTATAGAAGTATATTATTGTTTCTTATGAAATTTAATTAAATCTATGAATAACTTATAATTAAAACAACAGGAATTATTTGTTTTTGTTCTTCATTCACTCCCTTATAGCTTTGATTTATTAAAATAGAAATTATTTTTCTTTGTCAAAGTTATCAGACCCTACCAAAAATCACTGATTAGACAGTTTATTTCAATACCCAAAAGTAGAAGGAATCCTTAAATAATATTTGTGCTATGTAAAACATCACATAAAACATTATATTACAAAAATTTTGTTTTATGTTTACAGAAAATGAAGAAGCAGATGCTGGGACATTTGACCAAGAAAATGGGAATGTTATGCACATGCTGCCGGAAACAAAATATGTGATAGAAGACAACGGAGAAGGAGAGTCTGCTGACGAACTGGATATCGCACAAGCCGCTGAGGAAGTAGCTAAAGAAACTTGGCTGAATGAAGAAATAAAACGACTTATAGTCTTCTATATTGATAATAAAGAAACATTCCTTAGTGGGACAACAAAGAAAAAACATTTGTGGGCTGTAGCTTGCAGAACTATACTCACAGGCAAGAATCCGGTTTCATGTGAAGTTAAATTAAGAATGCTCAAACAACAGTTCATACAACTATGTTTAGAGAAACAGAAAGGGAATATCGTCACTTGGCCGTATTATGATCTATGTCACCAAGCATTCTATGAAGATAGCTTTGAAACTGTAACAAATGATTCCGAGCCAAATAAAGTGATTATTAACATGCCCGTACAGAATGTTGTCAATCAAGATGGTATCTTAGTGGTGAAGAAAGTTAATAGCGGCCAAGGAAAAGATGTTGATGAAAAAGTTGAAGCCATGCTCAAACTTTATATAAAGCATAAGAAAACATTCAAGAGGAATAATCATATGCCGAGAGGTTTGTGGGAAACGATAGCATTAGAAATGGGTGAAGACGATGTTGAATATTGGCACAAAAGATTTCTTAATTTCAAACAGCATTATGTCAGGATGCTTTATAAAAAGAAAGAGAGCGGCCCTGAAAATATTCATTGGCCGTATATGAAATATTTTGATCACATTTTCTGTGACGATGAGGAGTTTCAGAAGAAATTTCTTCCCAGTAATGAAGATGACGACAGCCAAGATACTGAACTCCAAGAAGATACGTGGAGTGATACAGAAAAAACTTTTCTTGTCAAATATTATTACGATTGCTTCCAAGAATTTCAAGATTCGACCATACCAAACCAATTTCTATGGCAAGAAGTTGGTAGATTACTCAATAGAAAACCAGATGTTTGCAAGGATAAATACAACGAGTTAAAGAACCAACATTTCAATTTACTTCTAGAAAGGGTATATGATATGACAAATAGAGTGCCAATGGCCATTATATTTGACAATATAATCGCAAAAGAGACATTGATCGAATTAGAACAGCCAGCGAAAAGGTCGGATTCTTCAGATATATGGAAAACTGAGCAAATTGATGAATTGGTTGAATATTTGTATGAAAATATAAATATGTTAAAAGATCTCATATGTTACTATGTTTGTTGGGCGACTATATCTAAGAAAATCGAGAGAACTGTACAATCATGTATGAAACAGTGGGATTCATTGAAAACGCTTTATAAAAGTATATTAGAAGATAAGAAGGAAAATTCTGATATGCAAATAGATTGGAGATACATAGATCTGTTTGATAGAATATTTGACTATGGAATGGATACTAACTTGCTCGATGGCTATGAAAAAACAAAAGAACTTAGCAATAATACTAGTAACGGAAAAGTTGGAGGTAAGTTGAATAATAACTACATTGCCATAGATAATCTCGTTAGTCTTAACTACTTACATAAATTTTAAATCCTTCTGATAATACAGTAAGTAGCCATTAAAACGAAGGTTTTATAATGTTCTGTTGATTAATACAATTTATTAATAATTTTTTGCAAGCCTTTATCCAGTACATCATTAATGTGGTTACTGATAAACAATTGCTTTTCCTACATTAGCAGACAGTAACTGAAAGTTCATATTATTTAAGTTTAAGTTTAATTATTTAAGTTGTTTTTGAATGAAATATTCGTATTCCTGTTTAAAAAATACATATGTGTTAAAACTGAGAATTCCTTACTATTTGCGTATTTAAAAGATTTGAATGTAAAATAATCTTACTTAACTGTTCATTTGTATTCCAGTTAAAAAAATAACAATAAAAGGGGATTACGAAAATTTTGCTATGGATGGCACAGACGATGAAGAATCGTACGACGAAAGAGGATTCACAAAACGTTCCAAGAAAAGAAACGGTGACACGAAAGCCTTTAAAATATTAGAGTACTATTTGAAGAACAAAGATAAATTTTCATCATCCCAACAAAAAAAACTCGCATTATGGGAAATATTGGCAAAACAAATCGGCCTCTCAGCTACAGAATGTGCCCATAGATTTCGTAACTTCAAACAAGTTTATATAGGTTACGTTCAACGTGAAATAAATAAACCCGAAATGCCAATATTATGGCCATATTACACTTTATGCAAGAAAGTTTTCGGATATAGAGCTATAAAGTCCAAGTTAAAGAACGGAAAACTAGAATCTGAGGATGGTGAAGATTGGTCGGCGAAGGAAATAAAGCAATTGATTAACTATTTCTCAAGAAACTATCATGATTTGGTTGATAATATCGAAGATAAATCCAGATGGGTCCAAGTAGCGCAGGAAATGGGCAGAACTGAGGGTAGTTGTTGTGATAAATTTCTAGAATTAAGAAAATCCTATAGGAAACTTAAGACAATGAAATCAAGGAATCCAGATGTTAAAGTTTCTTGGAAGTATTTCAATATGATCGATGAGATATATCAAAACGGTGCGGAAAATATTGAGGTCTTGGAAGAAATGGATTTTGAAGAAACAACTGCCTTTGACGTTAAGACGGAAATTCAGGAAGGTATGCATATTATTTTATTATTACTACTATTGATACTGCTTATAGTACATAATTTAAGACTATGAATATGAACTAGTTTATTTTAACTGCTATTTACTGGAAATTTTTCTATATAATTGTGTATTTATAATCAGTGGCGTGCACAAATTTATAATAGATTGTACGACGGTATTTGATTTATTTAAACTAATTATTAAACGGTATTTAATTTATTTTGATGACTTCGTAAAGGGAAACCGATTGCGAGAATTTTTGTCTCTGAAATTAAAACATATGCATAGGTATTTATACACACATAGAAATAGTATCTTCATATAGATAGATAGATGGCATTTTTAACACATCACATATCGAATGAATTATAAATAAATACAATGTCAGTAAGAATATAATAATGTAGGTTTCAATGTTATATATGTAGGATCTGCAAAGCTTATTGTCCCCATGAAGTGCAAGCAACTACATAGTTATAGCACGTACAACCAACAAATGTATAAATACACATGCTTACATTAACATTAACTATAATATTACCAATAACTTTAGTAAAAATTGTATTTCCTCTATAGATTCTGTGAATTAAAATAAATTATTTGTTTCAGACGATGACTTCCAATGCATAATAGTTGTACCCGAAGGAGATGATATTAATAACGCTCAGATTATAATACAAGACGAGAAAAATTCAACAGAAGACAACGCAGAGGCAACTGGAGTTAGGAAAAATATTACAGTATGGAATAGAAAAAGCAAGAGACGTTTATTAATATTATATCTGAAATATTTAAGATCGAATAAGGAAAGAGAAATTAATACAAAAGATATGTGGACGGAAATTGCTTCACAGTTAGAAGCCAAAACACCAGTATCCTGCAAGAAAATGTACATGAAACTGAAGAATCAATACAATATAGACAAAGAAAAAAATATTATAACACCCTACAATGCTATAATAGAAAAAATCTTGGCTATTAAACCTAGATTCGCTAAATCAAATAAAATTAAATCATTAGATGACATAACTGTTTACAATGATGTACCAATGTCTGAAGAAAAAGTTCTAAATGCCTTAAATTACTATATGCAAAATCTAGAAGATTTTGTGAGTCCTAAATTCGAAAAACGATATCTATGGATCGAACTTGCCAAATATATATCTGAATCGGTGACAGATGTGTATAGTAAAATAAATTATATGAAGCAGAATCATGATAATATTGATTCACCGTTCCGTGAAGTTGTTCAAGCTATTATTGCAAAGGAAAATACGTTGAAAGAAGTTAATAAAGATTTAAGTACAGTCAAAGATGATGAAAATGAAGGACAAATTTGGTCTGATTTGGAAATTGAACGTCTTTTGACTTGGTATTTGGCACATTTAGACAAATTTAAAAACCCAAAATTCGTCAGAAGCTATCTTTGGATGGAGGCGTCTGATATATTGAAGAAAAGTCCACTTGTCTGTTCAAAGAAAATGCTAGAAATAAGATCACAATATAGAAGCATGGTTAAGGAAAATCCAGAAGAATTAAACAATTGGAAGTTTTATAATCTATGTCAAAGAATTTATGGTACAGGAAAGAAGAGTAATTAAGACTTATCATATAAATATATATAAGAATTATGTTTCACATATATGACCCTTTTTGTATATAAAATGGCTAAGCCTATTTTCTAGATTAGAGTAATAAAAGTGGGGTCCTCTGTATTACTATAAATGAATAAATAAATATATATTAATACAAAAGCACAAGTTTATTTTTTATAAAATAATTTTTGTATATTCCTTACTTCTTTACAATAATAAATATGATAGTTTGTGTATTTAAAATTGTCAAAAACTGCTGAATGGAATTTAATGAGACTTAAATAGGAAAGGTGCAATTAAAGATATGTAATATTCAATTTTCATATAATTCACGTTGTCACTGCTAGATGACGCTGTCGAAAGTTTCTTGTATATTTTAAACCCTTCATTCATTTCCCTTTAAACTTAATTCCAACGTAGCGGAAAAATCTAGAATATATATAATGTAGCTGTAAAACTACATTTAAAACCGAAATTTAGTGTAACAATTACATGTAATTCAAACTACATATCATATTTTGAGAAGTGCCCTTAAAAAGTAACTGACTGAAAAAACTAGTTATATTTGAAATGTTTTATGTGTTATACGACTAAATATAGAAGAAAAACTATAACATAAAACCGGTAAGTGTTTTAGTCTTGGCATTAAGAAGCTAGGGGTATTGAGTAAAAATTTCAGTATGGATTATACTTGAATGATATTTAACTTACGCAATGACTTCATATTTATTCGAAAACTTTGTGAATATCCAAAGTACTTTCAACATTCAATATATACTTCTTATTTTTTTTTTTTACGGTTTTATGATGTATATTTAATTGGTTTTTTATTAATTTGAACTCGAATAGTTTTCCTCAAAATCGGTAATTAAGTATGACAAGATAAATAAATAATATTTTGCTTTTTGTAAATATTACCTTTAAAGTATATACTGTTTATTTTAATTCACATACTAATAATGGCGTGCAAATTAAAATTAATTCTATATCTTAAGGACATCGCTACTTAGTTGTAAACCATTTTCAATGATAAAGGAGGGCCGCACAGCCAGGCCAAGGTCTTGTCACCGTTAATCCTGTTATGTTACTATCGAAATGTGTCGATACCTTACTATGATTTTATAGAACAATTGATTTTTATTATATTTATTAAATATGTCTAATTTACTGAACCTCAATATTTACTGGTAAATTTTCTACATTTTATGTATATAAAAACAAAAAAAAGTGTAACGCTTTACTTTTAAACATGTTGGCTGTTTGATAAAAAACCTTGGAAAGACGATATTTACTGTTTTAAGACTATGATGACAATTGTTTATCATGTGTAGTTAGAGGGTAACGTAATGTTACAAACGTGTTTTTATTTTGATGTTAGTCGCCATTGAAATCACCAGTAACATTCTCAATTAATGTATAGAGATAATGGAAGTCTTTCAAAAACACGGTTGTCAAAGGCATATTGTCTTAGAACTTAAAAACTTATATTTATTACAATTTAAAAATCCCCTAACTGTCATTTAACTATTACATAATGTACTCTTGAAGGTCTTAATCGAATAATAATAATTAAAAATATATTACATTTTACATTAATATTTTGAAAAGAGCTACTACTTTTACATTGCTGGACCGATATTAAACAAACACATTTAGAGACTACAGCAAAATAAATTACCTCACGGCTTTCAAATGAAAAAACCGCATCGAAATCGTTCGATCCATTTGAGAGCTACAAACATACACATAGACTTTGACGTAAAACTTATGACTACCCTCTTTTACTTCGCGGGTTAATAATCTTTAATTCAGATTAATATTCGTGTTTTTAAATAAAATCGTAAACTTTTATTCAGTGAGGATGCATTTATATTAAAAAGGATATTAAAAAGGATTTAGACTACAATTTATTAAATTCCATACATTTATTATGACGTAATATGTCAGTAGCGTATCGCTTGTCACTTGGACCACATATGAAACTTAAATCGCGAACTGAAAATTCAGTCTGTCGTAGCGTTTCAGCGATGCCGCGTCGCGTTTTTATTTTTAAAGTGTTATAATTTATTGAATATGAAGTGATGTGGATTAAGTTCCAGAAACATTATAAATTAATGATTTATATATAGACGTAATTGATTATATTCTTACTATGATAAAAATTGCTGATTTTAAAATAGTTTTGGACTATCGCATGTGAACAACATAGCCTTATAGTTTTATCAGTATTAGATTGATAGACGTAAAATTAATTAATTTTGTTTGTTATATTAATAATAGTTAATATATACATGAAATAGTCAAACCGTAGAATATTCTTTAGTTTTTATAACGATATCCACACAGTATTTAATTGTCTAGGCAACGAAGCCTCACAAGTTCTAGTCTATAGCAGGTAGACATTTATTTTCACTCTTATATTAAAGATATTTTAACTAACAGTATAATTAAATAATCACCTTCCATTAGTGGTGCACTGAAGTGTGAAATCGCATCAACGGGCTTAAAACGCTTTAATTTGACAAAACGTTTCGTTTTTAATATGAATTACGTTAGTTAAACGAAAGTTGCATTTATATGGCTATTGTTTTATTGAGTTATTGTTTTTTCTGTGTCAAAAATATTTATTATTATTGAGTGCTTCACGTCCATATTATTCAATTCTATTAATTGAAGTTTGTTAGGTATTGTTTTGTGGTAAAATATCAAGTTTATTATTGTTTAATATTGTCTACATACGTGAATTATATTGTTGAATAGGCTTTAAAGCTGCTGTTATTACTGGCCATATGAATGGAGATCCCTCAGACAGCTAAATTAAATGATGCTGTAGTTTTATATCTAAGTATAAAGTGAAATATTTTGTGATATAAAACCCTTATAAAGATAAATGTTGCCTAATTTATAATAAGTAAAGGACTGAACTAAATACTAATATGGATTTGATAGATCCTGGTAGGCATTATGGTTAATTTACTTCTGCTGAAAATTTTAATGTTGTTATCGATATAATATTTTATTTCATATTAAAGTTAGTCCAGTTTGGCCTATGTCCAGCAGCGGACCTCATCTGGCTGAAGTGATAACGATGATATTGAAGTTTGTAAAAAAAAATATTAGGTGTTTTTTTTTAACAAAGCCAACTTGTATTAAAGGAACAGAACTTCCTTTATTCAAAGCCATTGTTAAAAGTTCTGATTGCAATAAATTGAGAACAGGAGAATTGTGTAAACGTGATCAAATTTCATAAAATCAAATTTTAATCCATATATTAAAAATAACATGGCATACATTTTCATGCAGCTTTAAGTTTTGGCTTTTTTAAATTAAAATTAACCCTAATGTTCGATGAAAATTTTATTGATTATTCCTATCTATCCTAGGTCTTTCCTATTTTAAACCTATATTAAGTATGATAGGAACAAAAGGGACATTCTAGAATATATGAAGAAAGCACATAGAAAATTTAACATGCTAGTATATGTAATTGAATCAGCACAGCGAAAACACGTGTTAGGGCGTTTATTACGTTAGATAACTACTTTAAAAAGATTACAGAAGGAAAGGTCATATAGTCTTAACATAGTAAGATGCAGGACAACTTAAAGAATTGAATGCAATATGGAAATAGGAAGGTGACATTGATTTGGCCGAACGATTCAGTGATTAGAAGATATTAAGTGATAAAGGAACTTAGTTATAAAAAAAAACAAAATGTGGAAACTGTTGATCATTTTGTCGTGTATTTTATTGTGTAGTGTGACAAATGGTAGTCGAGTGCATGCTGTTAGTTTTCTGTAAGTTTCTCTACTAATTTCTTAAAACAACTTCTTCTTTATAACTGTATAAATAGTTATCATCTATTTTTTGGCATGTTCAATGTAGACCAATTGCATATATTACAATTTCTAGTGATTTTAGAAATTAAATTTTAATTTAACATAATAAACAAATACTGAACATTAATTTCAATCATGCTATGTTTATGGACTATAGAATAAAGACTTTTTTTCAGCACCAATGCTTCCTATCAAGAAATGGAGGTGAAATCTGAGACCAGTTTGTCTCTACGTGATATACTTCCAGTTAAAGCTAAGTACTACGATAAGAATAGGGCTCCAAAACTTTTGGGACAGCCTACCATAGTATACTTCCACGTGACTGTACTATCCTTGGATTCAATCAATGAAGAGAGTATGGTAAGAATATTTCTAATTTTCTTTTATTTAAGAATACATATAATATAATACATAAGAATTCGGGGTCTAGAGTTCAAAATTTTAATCAAAATATTTAGAACACATTTCACCTTTCATATCTGCAGGTGAAGAGGCAAGTAGGGATCTATTATTCTTTACAGGCAGATTTAAAATGATAAATTAAACATCTTTCCAGACGTACGTGGCAGATATTTTTCTGGCTCAATCCTGGCGTGATCCTCGTCTTCGACTTCCTGAGAACATGCACGAAGAATACCGCATCCTTGATGTCGACTGGTTGAATAAGATCTGGAGGCCGGATTGCTTCTTTAAGAACGCCAAGAAAGTGACCTTCCACGAAATGAGCATACCAAACCATTATCTCTGGCTGTATCATGACAAAACCTTACTTTATATGTCCAAGTAAGTTTTACTTCTACTTTTAATATATTCTATTCCCATTAAGATACTATTATCACTTTCATGAGAATAATACTTATAACAAAACATTCAACATCGCATTTGTAACAAAAATGAAATGACATTGGTTAGTTGTTTCAAATATAAAGACCAACTAAGAGATTTCAAAGTTATGAATAAAATAAAGCTGTAATTTTGATATTCTTAAGAAGAATCCTTTTTGTGGCAATGAAATCTTTTTGTCCTTTTCAATTCAATCATTTCCAAGTCACCTAATTTTAAATTCTATCCCATTTCAGGTTGACATTAGTGCTATCCTGTGCTATGAAGTTTGAGTCATATCCTCACGACACTCAAAGTTGTTCTATGATGATAGAGAGTTGTAAGTACGACCTTAATGATTATTTACTTTATTTATACATTATGAATTACATTTATCATATATTTTAGGAAGACGTTAGGTACTTTTGTGAAAAATAAGACGATTTTTTTGGTAAATTTCGATGATGGTTATATTTTTTTGTGGTTCATAAAATCTTTATTTAAAGAAAAGAAGTGTTAGTTACTCTATTTATAACTGAAGAATGGTTGTTGGCATGTAGTTGAAAATTAGCGGAGAGATAGCTTAGGACATAGGATTTTTAATTTATGTCGATCGAAAAAGAAAAAAAACTGGGTAAATTCCAATATCTGGTTATTTACGGACTTTAGGTCGGAATAAAACGCCCGGTCAGCTATACATATATTACTGATTCTATAATTAAAAACTGGTAATATAATATCTTGTTATTATTATTTTCAGTATCACACACGGTGCATGACTTAGTATTCATCTGGAACCTAACAGATCCTTTGGTTGTAAATCCAGACATCGAACTCCCTCAACTAGACATAGCCAACAATTTTACCTCCGACTGCACCATTGAGTACTCCACAGGTAAGAACTAAAGTAACTTGCAAAAAAGCATTTTATTATTGAAACGTTTAAGTCATATTTGCAACGATAGGTTTTTTACTAACCGGACTCAAGAATAAGTATCGTTAGCAGTTCTTTCATGAAATATTGCTTATGGATGTTATTGGTTTATTGAAAATAACGGATTATAGGACATTAAATATATTATCTTGACATACATATGATATATTGACGTTGCAATAAAAATTATATAAATTAGAAAGCAAATAATTGATAGAGATAGTTACTAAAGACTAGACTATACATTTAATGGTTGATCAATGAAAATAAATAAATTGATAGATTTACATCTGCAGGATTTAATATTAGTCTTTTATGTTTTTATTGGATGGTGTTTTAAGAAGCATTTAATACACAAAGGCTTTATAGTTTCAAGTTTTTTATTAGATTAATAACCAAAAGCTAACCAATCAAACAAAAATCTTGTCTCAATACTTAAAAACTATATTTTTGTCAATTTATTTATAAAAATTTATTTTGCAAGGAAAGATATATACTATAAATTTCTTTCATATAATGATGAAGAGAATGCTCAATAATTTTCAACAATCTTCCAGGTAACTTCACATGTCTGGCGGTAGTTTTCAACTTACGCCGACGTCTTGGCTACCATCTGTTCCACACGTACATACCGTCAGCGCTCATCGTAGTGATGTCCTGGATATCTTTCTGGATTAAGCCGGAAGCCATCCCTGCTAGGGTTACTCTGGGAGTAACCTCCCTTTTAACTTTAGGTAATTTACATATTTATACCTAAATAATCTTAAACTTAATCTTCATGAGGTGGTCAAGTGACTGCTGCTCGAACGTGGGCTGACTCGATGAGTGAGAAAACCGGTTTCCCTTTCCCTTTTTCCATCCTTTCCTACCGCTTCCCTTTTCCCTCCCTTTCCCACATTTCCTCCCCCTTTTCCCAAATCAAGGGTGGTGACACATCCGCACCACGTCTTATGTTGCGGATATCCATGGGCGACTGCCTTCCTCAGGTAGACCGTCTGCTCGGTTGTTCCCTTTAGAATAAAAAACAATGCTTTAGAAACAACTTTTTAAACATTTATGTAGAAATTATACAATTATATTTATAATAATTGGATGACGTAATATGCTCAGTAAACATAAAGAGAGAAGGTTTAAAATATACTAAAATTATAAATAGCAAACTCATTAATGGAGAGACAAATACGATAAAACAATAATAATAAATACGCATCTAAAATTTTATGGTATTTTTTTCAGCAACCCAAAACACGCAGTCCCAACAAAGTTTACCACCAGTCTCCTATGTCAAAGCTATAGATGTCTGGATGTCTTCCTGTTCAGTGTTCGTCTTTCTGTCCCTGTTTGAGTTCGCTGTGGTCAATAACTACATGGGTCCCGTAGCTACCAAGGCTATGAAGGGATACTCTGATGAAGATTTGAGTAGAGATTTAGATGCTTATAAGGTAGGTACCATTTTATAACTCTGATTAGGGAGTAGTTAAGAGAAACTTGGCTATTAGTCTATAGGAATGAATAGTATGCTCTCTATTTTATCAGAAGAAAGTCAAAATTATTAAGACAATTTAACTAGATTAGTTTGGTATTTTGAAAGAGTTTTTGCCCAAAAATCCTACACATATTTTGATCATAATTTTGATGATAATGGACAATTATATTGTATTTTCAGCACATATTTCCAAACTCGGTGGATCCTCGAGCGAGTACATCTGCCTCGCTCCCGCAATACGAAACCTTCTGTAACGGGAGAGAGACAGCATTATATATAGATCGTTTTTCCCGTTTCTTCTTTCCATTCTCATTCTTCATACTGAACGTTGTATATTGGTCCACGTTTCTATAATAAAACTATATTATATGTTTCAAGATCTTATTCTTAACAGTATTGTAATTGTAATTTTTATTTCTTGTAACGTGATATATATCTTTTATTAATTGTAATTGTAAAAAGTATTTTTATGTATTATTCTCTGTCAATCCTATTAAGTAATTTAAATTTTATTTACGTAAGTTAGAAACGAACGATTTGACAATGTCTTTTTTTAGTTAAAAATTAAATTTAGATGTAGTTTAGTCATGAGTTATTCTTATTTTAGGAGAAAACAGGCAAACATACAAATAGTTTAACCAAAACTTGTTTTAATATTATTTACATATATTATATGTAGGTTGTTTTATTTTTATACATAGCTTGTTGTTCTAAATTTACCATAAATTTAGAAGTGAAACATCTATTTTAAAATCATTTTGGTCAAATTTATTTTTATTTAAAACGATGTTATTTTGGTATTTAGATAGATATAGAATAAATACTATCTGGGAAATTTTGGAGAAAATTTAAAAAGTCAGCGGTGGCCTAGTGATTAAGAGGCCCGACTCTCATGCATGAGGGCGCGGGTTGGATCCTATACCAATGTGATTTTTCCGAGTCATATGTACTTTCTAAGAGTATTTAGACATCACTGATTAACGTATTCCTAAAAGAGGGTCATGTCAGGCAGGCGGCCGTTCGTAAAAATAATTAACCAAAACTATTCACAACATGTAAGGCAAAGACCCTGGCTAAAGCCGGGAAATTGCCAGGTAGAAGAAGAAGAAGACCTGAGAAAATTATGGACTTATTGTTATTTTTAACCGAATAATCTCATGATGCATATTGTAATATATATCATAATTTTGCTTTTATTGCTTTAATTTATTACACGTCATAAGGTTTTCTGTATTTTCTTTGGTATGTATATAAACATATTAATAATATAATATTTATTTAAGGTGTGTTCCTATTTATAATTAGAAACCACATAACTTAATGGAAAGGTGAAGCAAACGACGAAAAATATTTCGAGTTTATACCGATATATATTTTATTGAAAATATTTATTTCTTTTTAATAGCAATAAATTATAAAAATATTTTTTTTGTTTCAATTTTTCTTTATTTCAATATTTGTAGGTAAAAATTTATTGATTTTGTTTTTGCCGGCGACTTCATCAAATTGATTTTTGAAATAGATTTTAGAGAGAAATTAATCACGTTTATTAAAATATATGTATTATATAGTACATATTAAACACTAAAGTCGTGATTTCATGCAATATACAGCTGTATCAATATACTTGATCATAATCAAGATCGAACAAATTAGAAATTCGGGATTAATGATAGTCTAGTTCTCTGATATTTAATCTACATTAATGTAAAGTTTCATCGAAATCTGGAAGAGTTTTTGTGTAAAATACTAACAAACATCTATACATCCATTCAAAGATTTATAAGATAAAAAGATTTAAGATAGATATATACAAAAATTATATGCTATTTTTATTTAAAAAAAATAAAGAACGCGTAGTATATCCGAGAAATATTAGTTTCATTTTAATGAATAAATTTTAATGAATAAACTCGTGTAAGTGTCATTATATGCTATTTTTTTATCAGTAAAATAATATTTAAAAGATATTTTAATAATTCGTTACTGTTGAGTAAGTTTATTGTTCATTTCAATCACATGTATCATAGTTTTTTCTAGACCCTACATAGACTGCTAATGGTACTTTGTTCTGATAAAAGAATACTAAAATTAGACGTATTTGAATCTATTATTTGAGGTCTAGACTTCAATTTTAGATTTGTTAAGGAGAAGTTAGGTGGAACGGATTTTTCAAATATTTATAAAAAAAACATAGGAATATATGTATTATTAACGGATATTGAGTAGTAACTTTTAATTTTAATCTTTTAGAAACAGATAAGTTATAAGACAGTTTTATAGCCAAGTTATTTACAATAGATATAATATATGTATACATATATATAACCCTGACGTTGTTTTTGTTCATACGAAAATATTTTTTCAATATTTAATATTGAATTTAATTAAGATATAGATAATAAAAAATCTAGATAAACCTAGCCTTAATCCGAATCGACAGTCGAATATTAAGCGGATTGCCAAAAAAAATCGGACAATGTTATTATTTGCATACAAAACTACGTCTAGACAGTACGTGAATGAAATCGTAAAATAACCATGCAATCACGGATGCAACTGAATTTTTCTATGTACACGTTGGTATTTGGAAATGATTTGAGATAGAAAAAAATCGTTTCTTTAATTTGAAATTATAAATGCTCTAAAACAATATATATATATATATATATATCGTCATATATTTTTATAAAAATCATTTTAGCCATATAAATAATATAGAATGCAATAATATTTAAATAATCTTATAATTGTTTTATTATAAATACATATACATATTCGTCTTATGGATACAAAAGAATTTGGCTATTGAGAAAAATTATAAGAAAGCTCATACTTGAAGGCATAAACATTTATATTTCATATTATATATATCTATATATATTTACAATATTATTCAGACTTATGAATATATATTTTTAACTATTAAACCTCAAGTTTAATTTAAACAAGGGGAACAAACTAATAAAAGAAAAGTAAAAATTATTTTGCGACCATCCCGAGTTTTACGACTCACTAAATTAACAACAGTCTGTTATGTTATGTCTGTCTGTATGTAAATTTTCTTATATTTTCTAAAATATACATCACAAGACTTTGAATCTTTTGTTACTTGTTCAAGGATTATTATGATTTTTTTTATCCCTACTAATTTTTAAAAATGCGAAAGTAACTCTGTCTGTCTGTTACTCTTTCGCCCCTAAACCACTGAACTGATTTTAATTAATTTTGGTGCAGAGATAGAGTTGACCTTGAGAAAGAACATAGGATAGTTTTTATCCCAGACTTTTGAAAGGTTCTCTTGTAAACGCGATATAACCGAACTCCACGCGGGCGAAGCTGCGGGCGGAAAGCTAGTTAATTATATATCAATAATGTGATGGAACTGTCTAATGCAGGGAAAGATGGCATATTTTAGCATATATTGCATGCATATGTAAATCTGCATGCATGCATGATGCATGTAAGTAATTCTAAAGAATTGAATAATTGTTAGTTAAGATCGATTATTGAAAAAATTAATAGACTTTATACAACCAACTGTTATTTACTTTTCCATTACTTATTAAGTTTTATTTTCTATCATAGAACCGTATTAAATAACTTACAAATAACAAAAACAAATATACAAACTTTATTTATTTTTATACTTATTTATACCTTATAATATTAAATATCTATTTATATAGCAACAATGATTATTTAGCTTATCGAGTGTTAATTATAACTTCAACAAAGATGCAATTGTTAATGCTACATAATTTATATATTGACACGATATGACAGTGTGTATCGTTGACACACAGACAGGCCGCGATAATATTGATTGGCTTCTTCACTTGTTGCTGTTTTAATTAATTTGATAAAATTATTTGAATACTTCTATTGAGAATGATCGTTGTTTGAAATGACTAATGCGTGTGGTATTTGGGACTTTGGTTTGTTTTGTAAAATAAAGGAATAGCTAAATTATGAAAGTTTGTATTTATGGTCAAGAATAATAAGAATATAAATATATGTATATAATCTTTTGGTACTTTTAGAAGTAATTTCAAATGTTTATATACTTATTTCAATAAGTTGAATTGTCTTTTTTTATTTCGACGAAAATTTTCAAGCGCACCTATATATATGTAGAATATTTTTCACCTTTTTTTTTGTATTACTCTTATAATTAGCCTTTCTGTTTCTTTTTCAAATTTTCTTTATGTTAACACGGTTTAAATTTTCATAGTGGTGTCTAATCTTATAGTGTATATTCTGTGAAATTATGATTTACTTGTTTATAAACAATAAGTAAATTCAATTATAAAAACAATAATAATTATTATTTTTAGTAAACTTTTTATAACACTGAAGGCAAAATTTCAAAAAGTCTTAATTATTTTTGTATCTGAGTCAAAAACAAAATAACAAAATGTATGTAACTTTTTCAGCCAAAAATATAATTTATACTAGGAATTTTCAAATATTTTTCATATCTGCTTAAGGTTAATTTTCAAGAAATGCCGAAATTTGGCTTAAAAACAACACACCTCTTAGGTTTAAATTGATATAAAAAATGTATTAAATATATAACTTAAGAGTAAAATAAAAATAACTTAATCAATTATAAGACTTAATGTCTTATTTAAAGAAAAACAGTATTATTTAAAATTTAAGAAAAACAGTATTATTTAAAATACGTAAAACATTACAAGAACGTCTCATATCTTTAGTAATAGTAAGTTTTATATTTATTGTAAGTAAATAACAAAAACACAGAACGTTATAGAAATATCAAGAATTCAAGTGTTATAAACATAAAGCAAGTCGCGGGCACGTAAAATGATGAACAAAAAGAAATACATACGTGCGGAATCGTAAATCTTAACGACAGCTTTCGCAATACTAAAAATAGGATTAAATGTAAGGGTGCGTGCACATTGACTGCATTCAAAAACATACCTACTATTTGAATTATTTTTTCGTCTATTTTTGTATGATTAATTTTAAAATAACATTTATATGACATCGCTGTGAAGGTTAGTTAAAAAATTTCATTTGTTTTACATTCTATAACTTGTAAATTAAATTGAATTTATCTTTCTTTAGATTAAGATTAGATAAGAATTATATTAAACCCAGATCAATTATAATATATAATATTAAATTATTATATATTTCATTGACATAAAACAAGTGTATGTGTTCTTTGGTGTAACCAAAAACAGTAAGTACTTTTTACGAGTTCGCAGTATCTTGGAGGGTACGGCATCATCAATCGACAAAACTGTGGTCCTTAAACATAACTATAATTAAACATCGATATGTTATAACAAAAATGTAATATATACTTACTTCTTCTTCCTGGC